TATAATGGGAAGGACAGTGAGACACATTCATTGCAACTATTTAATCTTTTTATATTATCATGTATATTTATTGTCAAACTATTATTTTGTTTATTGTAGTAATCAGTACAGGTCATTCTCAATAAGTTTACCGGAACATTTAGGTCACTTCTATGATGTATGTAAGTGTTAACATGTATTTATTTGGTTTTCATTTTTAAATAAATATATATAATAAACACATAAATAGCTTCAAATGTATGTATGGTCACCTAGACTTTAATCTACCTTTTTGTCACTGTAGGCTGCTTTATAAACAATATATCCTAATTCCATCACTCCTGACGATCGTCCGGAATTATACTGGAATTCTACAAGTGTATGCATGCATGTTGGCACATACGTATTTAAAAATGCATGTCATATGCCTTTGTACAGATGAATCTTTGAGAGGAGTTTCTTTCCTCTGCTTTCCACTCAGTCATCTACTTTTAATTGAATTTTATCGCTATCACTATTGAATATTATGGTATGTTGAAAGCATATACATACATTCTATAAGAGCTGAAGCATAGAGTCAGTTCTAGGAGGTGGTGGATTTAAGAATCAGTCTCTTTGCAACACATTATGACTCACTGTTAGGGACAGAGAGTCAGTTTGGGAAGCTTTCCCAAATTAAGAGTCATTTTTCTAGCTTTGGAATAGCCTGTGTATCCTTGAGCCTTATCAATACACAGATAGTAAGGGCATTTTAGATATTTCTTTCAGGTGCCTAAACCGTGGACCCCCAGCCAATTTACTTAAAACTCTTGGCAACAGTTGCAGCCTTGCTTTATGAGTTCTTAATATAAAGATTGGAAACTTATCTGCTTAGCACTCCTGATGATCTTCTCTTTCTTCATGGCTACACAAAAAGGAGAGAAGCCAGAAGTCTTTTAAGACCATATATTTGCTTTTCATTTTTTTTAAGTGTAAATAACTTCAAAAATATGTTACAATGTTATAACATGCAATTTCACTGTAAGGGATATAGACAGTGACTCTGCTTTTCTGTATTCATAATTGTGTTTGAAATCTTCTAGTATGAAGAGACAAAAATAATAACCCTATTTATAAAACTTTTTCATGAAAATGGATTTTTCTGTATACATATGTGTGTATCAGATAGATGTATATATCTGCAGCAGATGCTGCTGTGTGACAGAGGTGGTCACAGCGTTCATTTAGAAAATAAACACAGCTGAATGAACACAGTAACAGGTGAAATCCTGGACTGAGTTGCTGAAAGCCCTGGTAGAGGACTTTACAGTGCTGATACCTCAAAGGAGCTTGTGATTTCCATCTAGAAACCTCATTTTCTTAATCTTTTATGCTAGATAAATTATTGGTTCCCCCCGTGTTTGCTGATACTGTACTGTTTTTGGGAAATAGTTTTCTCCCTAAGTTTTAGGTATAACCATTGTCTGTTAAGTATATAAAAACAGAAAACATTTACAAATAGAATTAAAAAGGCAGAGAAATGTCAGAGAAATGTTTATAAATTTATTGCAGTCTAATTACAGCTTCACAGAAATGTAATTCCACTGACTTCTGTAGTGTTACTTTTGATTAGACCAACAGAAAGCAGGCCTGATCTGTATTTACTTATAATGTAAAATTTGTCCACTTAGTTGTGCTAGATGTGCACTATAAAACTACTGCATGGTATTAATATAACTTGGTTTTGTGTCAAGGAATTATATTATGTATCCCTAAATGTTGCTGATTATCAGTCTACTGTTTTCTATCATCATCTCTTTATATGTATAAACTGGGTACTTTCCCGAGTTGAACTACTTAGCACTTTGGTGCTTTACAGTTTTGAAATGCTGTATGAATATTAATTGTGGCACAGAGCAGCCCAGTGAGGAAGGTAGATAAGTAAGTATTATTATCCCTATTTTACAGATGGGGAAGCTGAGGCACAGAGATTAAGTGACTTTCCCAAGGCCACACAGCAAGTCAGTGACAGAGCCAGGATTAGAGCTCGGGCGCTTCCTGGATCCCTCTCCCATGCTTTAAGCAGTAGACCACAGTGTTCCCTGGACTCAGCAAGCAACTCCTTGCAATAATGGACAGTTCCAAGGACTCATATCTGGTCAGTGTGTCCACAAATTTGTTTGCAGACTGCTCCAGTATATCAATGTAGTTCAGACACCTTAGTCCTGGCCGATTTGTGCATCGTGTAGCGTTTCTGTCCATCATCTTAAAATGGGGTGAAAGGAAGAAAAGCTAGAATTCTGACATGAACATGTCATGACTGTGAAAAACATTTATTCATGCCTTATTCTGATTACACTGAAATTGATGGGCAGAACTGTGGTGGGGTCATGGTTTTAGTATGTTCTTTTAGGATGTTAGTGTGGAGGTTTGTGGTTGCGTGGTGCATTAGAAGTCATTCAAAGCATGAGTTCTGTCTTCCTTGACTGTCGTATGATTGATCTTGCCTATATTTTCTCTTTCAAACTCATTTACTTCAGCACTTAAAAATAAAAATTTCACAGGTTTCCTGATATACTAATAAAAAACAGAGAAGTACCAAGCGAAATTGCTTTTCTAGTCTCTAATCATCATGTGAAAGTGGAGAGGATTTGCCTCTACTATTTGTGTTGCTATAGTGCTTACCTCCAAATGAGATTAAGACCTAATTGTGATGAGCTAGTAGCCAGCCCTTCCCTCCTTTGTCCCCTCCTCCACGGAGGCAGCACAGGAATCACAGATACTACTTGCAGACTAAAAGCAGGGTGACTCTTGTACTGGTGAACGCGAGGCGGCTTTCATACTGTTCCCTGGGAAGTGAGAGTGCACAGTGCAAGGCCTGTTTAATTGGACTTTGCTCAGAGTTTGACATGTGAATTGGCTAGAATGCAAAACTCCCAATTAAGCTGTTTTTTCCCCTGTAATGTTAATGGAAAAAAAACACTTCTGAGAATGAGGCAAGGCTGAGACTTGCTGTGACATTACAGGAAGAGGAGGCAGGGAAGAAGCTGATTGCCAAAAGCTGAAAATCAAACACATGGGAAAGGAGAAGTCAAAGTGTATGAGCATATTTCAATAAATATTAATGAATTAGTTTGTATTTAGTTTACTTGAAGATCTGTAAAGGCTTTGAAGTGTCCAGTAATTCAGTAGTTTCTCCATTACAGGATTTCCCCTAACGTTGCTTCCATAAGGCCATTTCAGGATCAGTAAAATGCTGTTGGCTATGACTTATGCTAGAATAGCACTACTTCTGACGTGGCTGTAATACTTGGCCTTTGGCATCCAGCCTAACCATTCACCCAGGGGCATGGCATCATTCCACACACACACAGTTATGTCCTACTGCCTAAAATAATGGATTAATTTTATCTGAGATGATCAAATGGTTTGTGCATTATTATACTGTTCTGGTGCATTCTAACAGATTACTAGCTAATTCTAAATTATTAAAAGACGTAAAGGTTTAAACACAAGGTTTTTCCTCATTGTCAGATTTTGTTACTTGCTACTATCTGATCAAAAGCTCTAATAAAGACACTGTTAACACTCTCTCAATCTCTCTCTCTCTCTCTCTCGCTCTCTTTCTTTAACAGCCCAGATGCTTGGTGCTGACACATTTCTAGGACTTTTCTATATAAGAAAGCTACAGTATGACAGCTATTTTTAAAAAAAGAGAGGAGCCTGAAACAAAAACTTAGATCCAGAATGTATGATAGTCAAATCTAGATGTGAATCTTTTTGCCTGGGGCATCTGCTCTTTAAGGAGAGGTGCTCATGGGGTGTAATTTCTCATTATGTTCCATTGCATTCTATATATAGATTTATATTTAGCATGTAATGCTGGTGTTGAAATCCCCTTGCTTCAGACTTTCATTAAGATACCAATTTTATATATTGAAATCAGGCAGTTCTAGTTCTAATATCAGTTACTAAAACCCTTCCACTAATGTCAAGTAAATATATACTCATGGTATATTAATTGATGCTTTTATGTAATTCATCCTTTTTATTTCATCTCATTCACTCACTGAAAGCCACTCTCAACCTCATCTTTGTGAAATGTAGGCTGTATTTAGCAACTGTTTTTTTTTTTTTTTTCCCCAATTGGTGATGTTACACTCATAGGGAGGCCGATATTCTGTTTAGCACTGCATCCAGTGCCTCATGGCTGAACTCTGAAAATATTTTGTATTCAGGGAATCATGACTATTTTTATGTCTTAAGTGGCTGAAGTCACTGATTTCTCTAGCTTTTTTAGCCTGATCACAATAAATCATTTTAGCATATTGTACAGTGCAGCAGAGAACAAAGGTATTCCTTTCTAATGCAGTTAAGGTGCATATATAGCTACAGTATAAAATCAAACATAAGATATGTGTTACTGAGAAAGAATAGCTTTTCTGTGTTATACTATTAGACTAGGCTATCTGCTTTCGTTGTAACTACAGCTCTGTGCTTGTAAAGAAAAGCAAAAGCTTTGCAATTCATCAGTAAGTGAAGCCAGGTGTTTTTATGCTATTAATATTTTCTTTCTCATCATATTGTTACTGAAAGTAGTATACCTTGCCAAAGTATAAGGAGTGCAAGAGCTAATAGTTTGGGAATTCTGCATATAGCTCTGGATATATCCTAGTCTAGAGACAAAAAAAAAAAAAAAGTACAATCTCTTTCTTCAAGAGCACAAGAAAAAAGCTCCATCTCTTTCATTATCTTATTGGCTCATGTTTTTCTTAGTTTCCAATAGCCAGAGTTTACTCATCATCCTGAAGGATTTAACAGAAGAACTTGCTTCATGTCAAAGTCAGCTGTAATCGCAAGTCAGTAAAAATTGTCACATAAAGAATAAATTATAATAAGGAAAATGAAATTAAAAAAAATTATGTAGGAGAAGAGTAAATAAATAAACAGTAAACTTATCTTTGTTTCATAGAGTTATTCAGTCTTGTCAATAGTTTCCAAATGAGAAGCAGCTTACCTGTTTTTTTTTTTCTGTTTTGCAGAGAAATGATGAAGAGGCTGTTGTGGATAGAGGTGGAACTCGCTCCATTCTCAAAACACATTTTGAAAAGGAAGATTTGGAAGGTGACTGATTATTTTTCTGTGCATTACCTTGTCTCTCTCTTCTAAAAGAGCTAAAACCAAATTCCAATGTGTAAACTTACTGAGTTGAGCAGGGATGCAAAAGTGGATGTGAAAGTAACATCTCATCTATTTTGAAAAGAGAAATATTACATATTTCTCACAGCAATGCTTTAATAGGGATGATAGTGAAAGGAGGATGCTAGTTTTCACTTAATTGTCTAAAATCAAGTCCCGCAAAAACAAATGTTTGACTTCCGATGGGAAATCCTTTTACCTTTAATTTTCAAATATATAAATGCAAGCAGGACTGATGATTATTTGTAGTGATCTCGACGCTTAATATAAAATCCTAATGTTGTTACATATCCACATCTCCCACTGAACAAAAGCACTTTGAAGTATCACAAATTAGACAGATACTGAAGGATATACTCTGCAAAAACCGTATAAGGTCACCCTGTAGAAGCAAGTAATTCACAAATGTGAGAACTATTTTATGATATTGACCTAATAATTCAGTCTCTGAAAGAGTTACATTTAGTTTGTTTAGTGCATCCAAAATTTATTGTGGTTATGACTGTGCTTACACTCTTGCAATGACATGTGTGAACCCTAAGTCATTATTATGGGATGAAGCTGAATTTCTGTTGTACATGAGATATACCATCCCTAAGACTAGGACTTGCTGACTGTAGTTGTTAGCTTCTTGTGGTGGCACATGAACTAGCCAATAAGGAATACTGAGATCTGGGGTATCTTTTAACGTCCTACATCTGAAGAGTTACCTGCCTTAGGTCTAAAAAGAGGTATCTCCGTCCATGAACCTGAGCTTTCTAAATGGTTGCCATTGATTACTTCTGTGGGTCATTATTATTTATTTTGTTTTTTTTTCTCTGTATGAATTTAGCATTCTTTGCTGCTTGATGGTGGGATTGATGATTTCCTGTGAACATCAGCATGATACACATCACCACCCTCAGTAGTGGTTTAAAAAGCATTTTGAAAGGGGACTAGCTATGTTGGTCTATATGAGGTAATCTCTCATAGAGGGATCTGAAACATCATGCAATGTAGTGTATGTCAGCTGTGGACCCCTCTGCTTAGTCCAGGGCAATTCTGAACACATGCAAAGGTGGATTTCAAAGTTTTCAGGGTTTTGATGTCTCTGGGGTGAGTGGCTGCTAGCGTGTTGGGCTGATGATCACAATTTTAGATTTAGGCACGCAAAACTCTTTTTTTGAATCTTGCTCCTCTTGTCTTCTATAGTCTTTAGTCACTTTATCACATCTTTGGGCAAGGTAAAACCATTGCATCTGGTGTCCCTAGGGAACCATCTGCTAGAACCAGGCCATCTACCTTCCCTTCTCTGTGAAGTGCAGTGTTATTTTGGGGGGATTCTACCCAGAAGTACATCCTTTTGCTGAGTTGTTCATGTGGTAAGGAGGAATTTTAAAAATGGGCAACTTGCTGGAAAATGACCTCTTTTAAGCTCAGTCATATGGGTAAACTCAAGCTTTATGGTAAACAGAATTACTGTTCACCTTGTGAGTACATGGAACCCAAAAACCTGTATAACAGTTTTAACAGCTGTTATTTCAAAAACTGCATTTAATTACAATCTTTCTCTACCATCCTATGATAGCAGAGTTGCTCCTGTGAAATATGGCTGAAAATTTTCTTTTAAAAAAACTGCTCCTAGGATGAAATGATGAAATAGAAATCAGAATATTGCAGTGGCCCCCTCCCCTGCCCAGTCTTTCTATCAATTTTAGTTGTTTGGGGCACTGAAAAATCCTGTAGTTACCCAATGAGTCCACTTTTCTTTCAAACAAAATCACAGTATTTCATAACGTTCTAAGAGAACAATTACTCTTACACAGTTAGCTTTCTCAGATAAATTTCATGTCTACTCTAAGATCAGATTAGTATCTTTAAATATATAATTGCTGTATCCAGAAATACTGAGTGAAATAAAAAGGTTTGAAAAGGTTGTAAATTTTAATAATGCAGTTTCTCTTAACAGCATGTCCAATCGTTTCACAGCACATCTAGGCACTTTTCCATCTGGAAACAGTGGAGATGACGCAGGCACATGTCACTGTCTTATTCTTATCCAGTGTACATTGTGATGAATTCTGCTGAAAATTTACCTTTTTCCTAATTACGTAACAGGTTTCAGTTATAAAATATGAAATTATATAATCAGGTGCTAATTGCATAGCTTAGTGAAAATCATATAATTAGATAATTAACATGTTATGTAATTAGCTCTTTGGCAGACATTTGATTGGGTTTATATATTAAAAATGTAAATAGCTAGTTACTGAATATTATAGTAAAGACTTGTGCTGACAGGGTTAAAGTTTGTGCAACACCATATCGGAACCATTTCACAAACTGCAGCTTTTGTGAAGAACTCAATGTTGTTTTAATCTGAAATTTGATATTCAGCTTTCTTAATTAAACAAATCTTAAAATTGTAAGTATTTTGCTGCTGCTTAATTTTAGACCGTTAGCATTCAGATGTCAGAAATACTAATTTAAATCTCTACTAAAATTTTCAATTGAAATTTCTTAGACTGGCAAATATTTGTGTTTGCATATTTTGGGGCAGCCATTGTGCAAACGCATTGCAAGTATGTATCTTGCTGAAAGCATAAAATATCATGGTGATGAATACTGCCCAGCAGGACATCTGCAAAGCCAGAATTTTGCCTTAGTCTGTCTAAATCAGTATTTTCTTTCCTTGAGCAGTGTGGTAAAAATTTTGGGAGATAGGGCAGGAATTGCAGTGCTCTTTCATGGGAATAGAAAAGATGTGGTGCTCATCTTAATGGCATAAATGTTGCTTACAACATATACTTTAAATTTTTTCTTTAAATTTTTTTTTTTATTTAAGCTTTGTGGCACTTCAGAAGTAGATTGCATGCAGAGCTTTAGCATTCATAATTTCAGCATGAATGATTTTTCCACCTAATTCATTTTACTAAGTCATAAGGTCAAGATCAGTCACTAATACAGGACAGGTCATTTATCTGACTATTGCATTAATGAAGGGAGAGAGACATCATTCCTGAAAGCAAAACAAGCAGTCTAGCTCCCTTGGTTATAATCAAATATTTTGCCTGTTGTCTTTCAGTGTATATACAGACAATATTTGTACCGAAATAAATATGCTCTTATTTTGATCAGCGGTGGAATTCTTCAGGGAGAATTACGCTCTGATTCTGGATACTGATGTATTTCAGTGTAAAAGAGCAGGCCCTATGCTTACCCCTGCAGGGGCAGGTAGGCATGTGTTCGTGAACAGATGTGCACATCAGCAAATAATTGCACTTAGCTTACTCCTGGTTATCATCTCTGGCTGTCTGCTGTTGCTTCTATGCGTATTTAGTAGTAGGAGTTTTCTGACAAAACAGATGCATGTACTTTGTGTTCCCCTCAAAGATTAAAAGTGTTTGAATTTGTCTCTAAATGTCTGGAGACCTCAGAAGCTGTCAGATCATGTGCTGAGACCTTTGAACAATACAGATATGCAAAAGGAATGACCCTAAGTGTACTCAAACTAAGGTTTTTTTGTTCATGCCTGCTGTATCAGTATAGCAGCTGAGAGTGAAAATGCTTTTTTCCATGACAGTGCTCGCTGGTAGTGGTCAGCTGCTGGTCCTGGATCTTGGGGGAAAGGTTGCAGAATTGCCTTAGAGCAGCTCTGGGTATTACTGTGGCCTGATTTGATAAGGAGATAGCTGGCACCATTAGGTGGAGGTCCAGGAGGGAATCAAGGATAAATTCTGGTTCTGTGGAAGCGAATAGCAAAACAGTCATTGATTCAGAAAAGTCAAGATTTTGCCCAAGCCTCTTCTGTTTCATACATTTTCTCGACATAAGTGGAGTATGGGAAAAATTTTTCTCCTGGGAAGTCAAGTCAGGAAGTGCATTCTGTCATGCCTCTCAAGGCACATAAAATACCGTAGCCAGTACAGAAATCACTGTACAGCAGAATATGCATTGTGACACTGATGACAAAATTTAGATTGCGTGAACTGGTTAACTGAAAGTCACACAAGAATTCAAACTAGATTAAAAATAAAAAAATATGACTGGTACAACACTATGATGCAGAAGCTGAGGATTTAACCTTAATATATATAAAAAAAAAATTTTAATGTGCTTGCAGAAATGCTTTGTCTTTAGCAACCTACATGAAGATTAATTTTGATAGTAGGCATCTTGCTGACAAAAAAAAAAGAAAATTCCTAAGTATTTCACTATTCTCTTTTTAAAAAGGTTTTTTTAGTAATTATTTCATTTTAGATTTCTTATAGTTTTTTGCCCTAAATTAAAAACTATTTTCATGAAATGTTAATTATATACAGTTAGTGTTAATATATGAAAAACTCGCTTTGATTGACCGCTAATGTCCATATATTATTTAGTAAAAATCAGAGTTGCTTCAGAGCAGATAATGAAGCGGGTTTTTCAGTCTCAGAGGGTGGACAGTTCTACAGAAATTACGTAATTGCGCATCTATCTTCCACTGACGTTATTTACCTGAAAATTAATAAGATGTAGCTCCTATCCTAGCTCACAGGACTGAAGGAACATTAATCATATTAACCTGTTGGCCTTGTCTCAGCCTTGCCCCCACATAGAAGGAAGTGAGCTACTAATTCTGCTTGGCCAGATAGGATCATCGATCTAGGCCTCTCCCCTCCCCGTGGCTGCCAGGAAGCTACAGCCAATTTGGATAATTTGTTAGCCCTGTCAGCGCAGATCCCATGCTCCAGGCCTCCTTGCTGCTGCTTCCCTTGGGTACCACATTCATACTGACGTTTGTGCTGAGCTGCCTTGTGCTCTTTTGCAGTGGTGCTCGCTGGACTTGGAGGGGCAGAGCGTAAGCTGTGGAAGTAAAGAGTTTGAAAGAGATCTGAGTTAGCTTGTGCTGGGAATGCTGGATGGAGCTCTAGGGCTGTAGCCTTCTGTGAATGGCTCTCCTGAAA